TTTTTTTTTTTTTTTTTTTTTTTTTTTTTTTTTTTTTTTTTTTTTTTTTTTTTTTTTTTTTTTTTTTTTTTTTTTTTTTTCACTCCTTTCAGGTGTTTGTTTGCTTCAAAATTTTGATGTAACTTTCCATTTTTCACTCCTTTTAGAATTTGGCTTCCTACGAACATTTGATGTATAATTAGAATTGCTTTCTTTGTTTAAAAAAAAGTATCAGTCAAATATCTATCTCTGGAAAAGAATAATAAATGAGGGTCCTCACTTTTGTTAAAATGAGAATTGAGAGATTCTCAACATTAAGCTAAAATAATCCAGGGTCTTCACTCTTGTTAAAATAGAACCAAACTCATCAACCGTCTTTTTTCTTTTCCTTTCTCTACTAAAGCCTAAAAATTGCCGAAGTAGCATTTTAATTCGTTCTCTAATGCTCTGTATAGAGGTTGCTATGCTGAGTAGTTTAGTCTATTCAACTTATGTGGCGTTTTACATCATTGGAATCACATTGGCATCGCAATCAGTTTCTCTTTAACCGGGCACGTGCCCACATGCTCTAGTGTATGGGATGGACCACAAATCAAGTAGGCCACATGTGAGCCCCTGACTCATGTCCTATGGTAGTCAGATGGGCACATGTTGGCCGAACTTGAAATTCTCTCCTTCTGATATGCGTGGTGATGACTAAATGCAATCTCAAAATGATTCAAACTCTAGATCGTTCTAAGGAATGAATCCATTTGGGATATCCGTTTAGCTTAGATTTCAATTTTGAATGGAATTTCTCATGTGGATGACAGGGAAGAAGTTGGAGGCAAGGATTTTAAGGAACATGTTAAGTTGAACTCTTGCTTTCTTATTTCGTTGCTCTATTGTACTGTTATGTTTGTTGCTTCGTTGCTTTATTAAACTCTTATAGGTGTTGCTGATGTTCATGGATATCAAGTGAAGTTAGGAATTAGGCAATGGTGAAACTGACTCATTCATCAGGCTTGCAACATATTCATGTGCAAACACGTTAAACATTTTCTTTCAAATTAATGCAATCATCTGTCACTGTTAGTTATCATCGAAATGGGTGTGTTTGGCATTATCATTTCTTGTGGTCAATATAACCTGCCTACCTCATTACTCACTGCAGAAATCCTCCTTTTGATGGCTTATCAGGAGTAATAAGATCTAAATTGAGTCAGATGCTAGCTTGGGAGATTTATTTAGTATATTTTCAAATTCTTTTTCATTTGCAGATTGAGGAGAAGCACAGAGATCTTTGCCGCTTAGTCATTCAGTTTATACCCCCCACAACATCTCCCCAGTTGCCAGGTTCAGTATTTAGAACATTTTTGCAGAACCTATTACTGAAGAACAGAGGAACTGATCATAATGCATCCCCTTCTGGAGTTCCAAGCAATTCTATTGTTGTTTCTCTATACGCTGTGATACTTCATTTTTTATCTGAAGGATTTGGAATGGGGAGTGTTTGTGACTGGTTGAGAAGTAGTGAAAGTGATGGTCCTGATATGGGTTTTCTTCATAGAGGTGGGCAGCGCAGTTTCCCTGTCTATTTGTTCTTTAGAGATGAGTCTCATCAAACTGTCACGGCTAGGCTTGGAGGCTCATACAATCATATATCAAAACTACATCCTCCTGGGGATCAAGAAGTTGAAGTAATTCACTGGGAGGAAGGTTGCATGGATGACCATGAGACCAGAGTAACTCATTCCACCCGACAAAAGCCATGTTGCTGTTCAAGTTATGATGCTGAATGCACGAGGAGTTCAAAGGATCCTATTAAGTATGCTATCAGAAATTCTCGTGGGATTCCTATGCACGATAGATCTGCCCATGTTGCCAGTGAATGTAGTGCTGGAAATTTGAGTGATGAAATAACTGACAAACCGAGTTCAAGTGAACAATCTGATGCACAGTTTGGATATTGCCCCGTGCAGCACATGAGGATTGTACCAAGGGAGACTAATGCATCTTCAGCTACATTAAGAGAAGAAGAACTTTTAGACTTCTTGCTTCTCTTTTATCACATGGGACTTGCACCAGATTTTAAGCAGGTATTAGGCTAATGGAGACTTCTTCTTTATAAAATTGCTTGGGATGATCTCTTCTTTTTTTCCCCTCATATAACTTTGTAATTAGATATGTGATGTATATTTTCCTCTCTAAGCTTCCTTGGGTTATCCCATCTGTTTGCATCTCTCTTCTTTAAACACTTGACAAAAGGATCTATTCTCCTCCTTGTTGACGATTACGAGATTGTTCCCTTCCCCTTAATTCTTTCAACTCCCCCTCACTTTTCCTCTGAAAGTCCATAATCGTTCCCCAAACACACTCCATTCCCCCTTACAATATAACTGAAGATGCACCTCTTCACTTCATCATTTCATAATATTATAATTTGTGTAAACCATCCATCCTTATCCGAATCCTCCTGCACCCAGTTAGTCCATCCTTAGATCTGATCCCTTTTTCCCTTTTTTTCTTCTTTATAAGAAACGGAGAAATTTTATAACAAAAAGGGGAATGAACAGTATAAGGGTCTGGTAGAGGAAACTTTGTCGCAGAAACATCAAGACAGCTTTCCAATCTTTGATAATAGAAAATAAAATGTAGTTACAAAAGAACTTTTTGTGCGGGAGAACCACCACAAAGCGGTGTGCTGTACATTGCTACAGAAGTACCCTAATCGACTTTCTTATCTTCAAAATTCCTTCTGTTTCTCTTTTCAAACCATCCACAAATGGGCCATTGCTGCAGAATTCCAGTTTCAAAAGAGACCCTCCAAAAGATTCCTGAACAAAGCTGTTTACCTTATCATAGAAGCGAAGCATCAACCCGAACCCATTCTGCACCAAATCCCAAGCTTTTCTAGCAAAAAGAGCGGTGGAGAAAGAGGGATGGTCAAGAGTCTCTTCAGCTTTCCTACATAAGCAACAAACTGAGGGGGAGGTAGACCAATGAGGAGATTTCCATTGAAGGTTGTCAGTTGTGTTAAGGCTTATCTGATTTTCTTGAAATACTTGTGGATTAGTATTTTGGAGAGTATCCAGCTCTTGTTCTAACCACCTTGATTGCTTACATTCCAACCTAATGTGAAAGGATGATGATCTTTTTATCTCATCTAGTGGAACCTGCACTAAAAAAAGTACGAAGGAAGTACTCCTCGTATTCAAGATTCAAAATCCACTTGAATGCCTTTTGAATTGGAAATGTTTACATTTCAATGCGGAGCATTTGTTTTCTCTAAGTTTGAGTGTTGCAAGGGACTGTGAAGAAGAACCTAAGGGGTTAAGAAGTTATTAATTTAAACAATATTGATCTGATCAGTATGCATCTAGATCAGAGTGGTTGCATAAAGTTTTCTATTTGTTTAGTGGTTGGAAGTTGTGGCTTAGGGGCTTCAGAAATGACTCCGAAGATTACCTTGGGGGAAGGATTGCGGTTGTAGTATAGAGCCTACTGAATTCATTCTCCTTGATCTCTCATTTTCTATTTATAGATTTCTCTACAAATATGGAGGCCTCTCTCCCTGTATAAGTTATGGTTACTTTTTATAAATTTAAAGTGGTGGTGATCAACCTACAAAAGGAGAAGGAAAAAAAAAAAAAAAAAAAAAA